CGCAGATTGTTCCAGAGGGTTCTTTGGTTCCATATATTGTTAAAAGAGGGTCTTTGGGCCCTCTAATTGTTCTAGGAGGGTCTTTGGGTCCCCAGATTGCTTCACGGAAAACTTTGGGTCACCAGATTCTTTCAGCGGGTTCTTGGGTCCCCAGAATGTTCCATGGGGGCTCCTTGGGTCACCAAATTGTTCCAGGCAGAACTTGGGTACCCAGATTGTTCTGGGTACCAATTATTTCTTCACGTGCAGAAGGAATGTGACGAATAAAAATAATCTCTAATAAAGTTGAAATAAAGGTATATCTGTTTTTATTATTATCCATTTAGAGTTAAGCTTATTTAGATTTTTATTACATGTTCTTCTACTAAATTTACTCTAACATATCTTGAGAAAAGAACATGATTTGTTGCATACTTTGGATGGCTGTATCACGTTAAATATTGCTCTAATTGCTTTGATATTCAATATTAGCAAAGAAAACCTTTACTAAAAGAAACGTAAATGAATGTGGTAAATCCAATGGTAATGTTTTCAAAGTGATTCTATGGCTGGTTTTGATTTTGAGTTTTGCGAAAAATGACGATTTCGGCGAGGTGACGGTTCTCTGCTGACGACTGGTGGTGTGGCCAGGAATTATGGCCTGAAGGCACCAACTTTCCTGCCAATATTTCTTCAGTATTTTTACTAAATGGTTTATTAGTTCATTAACTTATTGGATATATTGATTGATTTATTAACTTCTTATTTCAAGGTGCAAAACTATAGCTTAGAATTGATCCAGGGGTTTCCTTGGGTCCCTAGATTGATCCAGGTGGTCATTGGGTCCCTAGATTGATCAAGGCGGTCGTTGGGTCCTTAGATTGATCAAGGCGGTCATTGGGTCCCTAGATTGATCAAGGGGGTCCTTGGGTTACCTCATTGTTCAAGGGGGTCCTTGCATCCCTAGTTTTATCCAGGGGGGGAAGGGTAATTGGGTCCCTAGATTGTTCCAGGAGTCCTTGGATCGCTAGATTTGTTCCAGGGGGGTCCGTGGGTCGCTAGATTGTTCCAGGGGGTCCTTGGGTTACCACATTGTTCCAGAGGTCCTTTGGTCCGCAGATTGTTCCAGAAGGATCCTTGGGTCCTCAGATGATTACAAAAAGCGTTTTTGGGTACGCAGGTTGTTCCAGAGGGTTCTTTGGTTCCATATATTGTTAAAAGAGGGTCTTTGGGCCCTCTAATTGTTCTAGGAGGGTCTTTGGGTCCCCAGATTGCTTCACGGAAAACTTTGGGTCACCAGATTCTTTCAGCGGGTTCTTGGGTCCCCAGAATGTTCCATGGGGGCTCCTTGGGTCACCAAATTGTTCCAGGCAGAACTTGGGTACCCAGATTGTTCTGGGTACCAATTATTTCTTCACGTGCAGAAGGAATGGGACGAAAAAAAATAATCTCTAATAAAGTTGAAATAAAGATATATCTGTTTTTATTATTATCCATTTATAGTTAAGCTTATTTAGATTTTTATTACATGTTCTTCTACTCAATTTACTCTAACATATCTTGAGAAAAGAACATGATTTGTTGCATACTTTGGATGGCTGTATCACGTTAAATATTGCTCTAATTGCTTTGATATTCAATATTAGCAAAGAAAACCTTTACTAAAAGAAATGTAAATGAATGTGGTAAATCCAATGGTAATGTTTTCAAAGTGATTCTACGGCTGGTTTTGATTTTGAGTTTTGCGAAAAATGACGATTTCGGCGAGGTGACGGTTCTCTGCTGACGACTGGTGGTGTGGCCAGGAATTGTGGCCTGAAGGCACCAACTTTCCTGCCAATATTTCTTCAGTATTTTTACTAAATTTTTTATTAGTTTATTAACTTATTGGATATATTGATTGATTTATTAACTTTTTATTTCAAGGTGCAAAACTATAATGTCCTATTGTAGGTAATGTACCCGATTCATTATCGGTAATTCCAAGTTCGAATCCCGGACTGGACAGAAATGGGTGGGCGCGACGTTTCCTAGCACCTATTTACCCTATTTTCCTAGCAGTAAATAGGTATCAGCAGTCAATCAGCTTATTGTGGGGTTTCCATCCTGGGATGGGGGGGGGGGGGGTAGTAATTAGGTTTGTTTTGTTTGGGGGGGGGGCCTCAATAACATGTATTCAATTTCATATTCATAATTTTATATTAATGTTATGTTAATGCTTGCATTATGTTATCAAGCCTAACCCACACCAACCCCACATACACATGTACACTACCCCACACCAATCCCATACACACACATATGCACACTACCCCACACCAACCCCTCATCAACCCCCCCCCCCTACACACACGTATACTACCCCAAGTCCCTTGAAACAGTGGATTATTCTAATTATTATATGTACTCTGATATATAAGTGTTTTACATGCCCAACAGCAAAAAGAGTAAGGAAAACCCAGTACTCCTCAAAACATAACAACTTGAAACTATCGATTCCTTTATAAATAACTCACGGGTACTATGCGTCTGTTCAAATGTCAACAGGTCACATTGGAGCTAAAGTCTGTGTAGAATATACAAAGACAACAGATGTAAAATTTCAATGCTCTGTACTCTCATAAACCCAATGTACCTTCTTCTATATAAATAAATAAATGTACATAGAGCGTTAGTTTGAGACTGAACTATACTGGCTTAGCTTCAAGTCACTCGAATGTCATGTATAAAATTAAATTTCATATTCATGCATTTTTATATCAAAGATTTTAACTATCTCGTAAGAGTGTTCGAGTTTAGCTTTTCCTATACCTCTTATTACCTTTGCCTTCACAGGATTTTAAAAATATGTGGACAACTAGTAGCCCGATCCAGTTACAGTCTCCATCATCCATCGTCTACAAGGCTGTGTCACATTGAATTATTCGTCAGACATTTTGCATGGAATTTAAAAAAAAAAAAATACAGAACACAATCTTCATAGATGTTTATTGTCATCGTTGTGGTAAAAAAAAGCGAAGGTTATTTTACAAAATATTCTTATTTATATATTCTGCAAGTTATTTAAGTTCTTGCCATTTCATATCAATAAATTGTTTTAGCATATTAACTAACACGGTACTGATAAATCAATTAATATAAAACAGACGTATAAAACACTAGACTACAATATTAACAACAAATAAACATAATTTATAAATTGGTTATGATTGACGGTTTTTAACCCTGTCCTGAAACGCACAAAGCTGTAAAAAAAATCCTAACTCAGAGAACTTACAGGTGTATAGAAAACTCACATATAACACACACCCACCCCAGAAACCTCTCATATATGATACAAACAGCTGCCCAGAATTTCTACAAATTCTCGATAATAATAACTAATACTGATCACACGATAGTGCTATCCTATTTTATATATATTGTTTTAGATTAATATCTAAGATAGCGTCTGAGCTGTACTTATGTAGTTCTGCATATGAATAAACATAATTACCAGTTACATAAATTACAAATGCTTTGGTATTTAAGATTTAAATTAAAAATAAATTATTACGTCCTACACATCACTTTCACACATAAGAAGCTACGAAATAAAAATATTTATCTCCTGCTAAATACAGAAAAAAGTACTCTACGACGAAGAAGAACGTATTCAGGGGCCAGATTCAAGAAGCAGTTACGCAAGCACTTACGAACCTGTACATCTTTTCTCAATCTTTGGCGGCTTTGATTACAATTATTAAACAGTTAATGGGCTCCGAAGCACCAAGAGGCTGTTTATAACAATAACAACAGTTGATTGGGAAGTTTTTATGCTTGTAAACCGTATAATAAATATAACCAAACCCGTCAAAGATTGAGGAAAGATGTGCATGTTCGTAAGTACTTGCGTAACTGCTTTGTGAATCTGGCCCCAGGATCCAAACCTTTGCACCAACTTTGCACCACCTTAGTAGCACCAAACAGCAGCCAGATACTTATTAATATGAACAAATCCACAAATTTAATATATCACGTTATTGTGATTTGTGTGTGTATACGTATTTATATTTTTTATATTCATTTTACATCGATATATAAGATTTTAAGGGTATATATGACAGTAGTCTCAGGCTTACTGTGGAGCTTATAACACATTCACATTTATGAAAACAATTTCTGTCCGCCAAATGGTGTCACCAGAAAGATTTCTGAACACCCGTTTTCGCAGATGAGGAGTCACAATAACATGGCTGAAAAAAAAGTTGACCAAACCACACACTAGAAAGTGAAGAGACGACGACGTTTCGGTCCGTTCTGGACCATTATCACAATCTACTTGATAAAAGGTTCAGGACGGACCGAAACGTCGTCGTCTCTTCACTGTCTAGTGTGTGGTTTGGTCAACACTTCCATTTTTCTGTCACTTAACTCAACGAGAAGTGGCGAAAGAGCTGACCCAGTCGATTTTTGCGCAGTTACAGTGGTCGGATTTCTGATGGTGTTTTAAAGTCTTCGAAACCACATGTACACTGATAGATCTTCAGGAGGAGGAAGCGTCATCATCCTCAACATAGAAGACTGATTGAGAATCTGGATGAGACTTCTTTGGCGTTCCATCATCGAAGATCGTCTCGGCGCTTGTCTCTATGAACGAGTCTTCACGGTCCTTCTGAGATCTGAACCAGTAACTATCTTTGGGGAAACTTGAAAGCTTCACTTTGCGTTCCGAAATCGAGTCTGGGTGATCGTTCTGATGTTGTGAGGACGACCGATCTTCCATGAGCGACGCTAATCTAAGCAGAGGATTGTTCCTCGAAACGAACGTCGGAATGCTCGAAGGAAGGCTCTCGGTCGCCTCGAAGCCATCAGGATCTCGTCTTTCGAAGCGCATCGAGCCGAAGTGAGTGAATCTCGTGCGTGTAGGCCGCTCGACCATTTCCCCTGTCGGCTCACCGCTTACGCTGGAGGGACCTGGATGTGAAGACGTTTTGCGCTCATTTAACGTCCCTGGAGTTCGCCTATAGACAGCTCTCTCGCCGCTTCTCGTTTCCGTGTGTCATTGGTCACTTAAGGTGCTGGAGGCTAGCATCTGACGGCGTCTGGAGCATACGATATAAGCGACGATGACGGCCAGAAGCAGAAGGATCACCGCCACCAGCACCCACACCGCTGACTGGTACGACACGTTGTCCGGCCCTGGTGTGATGACTGCAAGAACACGGATTTATGAGCAGCTTCATTTACACAACACAAATGGATAGCCAAACAGGTCCATATGCAGAAAACACACGCAACTACACCCTAAATCTTAAAGGACTTGACAGTGGAAGTAAAGACAAATAATTTAGCATGGGTGGAACACGAACAAGGGGACACAGGTGGAAAGTTAGTACCCAAATGAGCCAAAGAGACAGTAGAGAGAATTTCTTCAATTCCAGAATAGTTACAAATAGAATGCACTATAATAACGATCGAAATAATATCGAAGGGTTGATAAGCCATAAGCCAGGTATATCCAAAGAGCACTTACCTTGCCTGCAGGCAATTCATTAAACAATTAGGCAACCATTTCCGAATCCTGTACATCTTTCCGCATGGTGGCTCTGTTTACATATATTATATAAGCTCCAAACCACTACGAGATTTATTATAACAATAACAATCTTGAGTTATGAAGTGCTGAAGCTTGTAAACTGTTCGATAACTGTAAACAAAGCCGCCATGATTTAGGAAAGACACACAGCTTGCGCAAGTGGCTGTGTAGAGGCTAGAGGAATGAAGGCCCTGATTTACTTTGTGACTCGGTGGTTGGGTTCTCTGTGCCCGTGGTGTGGGTTGGCCTCGGATCAGGGTATAAGGTAACTAGGTTAGCTATTTCAGGTAGTAGGCCGTTCCAGAAGGCCACCTGGTGTCTCTGGTACCCCAGGTGAACCTGGCCGGACTCCAGCGAGGCGTAGGTGGGCGTCTGGGGCGTGTAGGGTATCCATCTAGGAGAGTATTGACCCAAGAACGGGATCCTGCAAAATATATTTTGGCACTAGGTTATCGCCGTGGAGAGGGAGGACCTGCTGCATGGGTAACAGCTTCTCCCCCGAATCAACCTACCCTGGCTTTGCGCCCTGGTGAGGCCACTCCAGACCGACAACCAGAGCGCAACTCCATAGTCTCCTGAGACTGATGGATGCCTACTACTAGGTTATCGTCGATGTTCCTGTTTTGAGATTAAAGTAAGCGTAGATAAATTAGGGGAAATAGGTACTTAAATTAACTGATTCAAATTAGGTATTCACAAAGTAGGTAGAATATTAATAAAACAAGAGGTTCGGTATAAACGAAACAGGAACTCGTAAAATAGGTCTTAGCTAAATAGGTACTTGAAAAACAGTTAATTACGAAACACTAATAAAGCTGAAACTTACTGTGCAGGAGTTAACAAAACAGAAGTTTGACGTGTATCTCTATTGTATCTCTATGACGTGTATTGATGTGTAGAACAGATAAATAAATTAGTTTGAAAAATATACTTAAAACAGAAATAAAAGAAATGCTAATAAACTGGGCATTTGAACATGACAGATACTTAAAAATAGGTACCTTGAAAATCAGAAGAGAGTAAAATAAATGCAAACAAGTGTTTGTAAAGCAGATGCTTAAAAAATTTTTTGGTTGAAAAAAAAATAATTTGAAAATCAGGTGCTTTAAAGAAAAGGTGCTAGAAGAAAAGCTGTTTAAAAGTTGGGTGCTTGAAAAACAGATGCTTATAAATCAGATGCATGGTAAACTGTTGCTTGTTCAACTAGTATAAAAATAAAAATAGGCGCTAGCAAATCAGAAGCAAACCAATTACAGTACAAATGTGCAGGATATGTACATTGAAATGTGTTCTTCTCCTCTCGGTGTATAATGAGAATAATTTATTTTGTCGGGAGACAGGCAGCCTGTGTGTGTGTGTATGTATATATATGCTAGATTTATATAGGAGTTATATAGATTTATATAGGAGGTATACCTACTTGCCACTAGCTAAATAGAGGCATTAAATGACAGGAAACGTGCCTAACCATTTTTGTCCCGTCTGGAATTTGAACCCGGGGTTCCCGATTGTGAATCTAGAATAAACCCTACTATACTTCCAAGAATTTTAATCTAAGACTATGTTCAAGACTAAAGTATACTTCCTGACTGGTTAGTGAGGTACTGTGGTGGTCTTAATAACACTAAGCCCAGCACGTGATGGGCCTAGTGTTATTAAGGGCATCTGGGTTAGTACCCAGGGAGAGTGGCAGTACTGACCCGCTGCTGGCGAAAGTAAATACCATCCGTTTGAGGCTCTGGCTGACTCGTTCCTCATTGTACGTCAAGGGAAGGTTGAAGAGCTGTCTGTAGGCGGCTGGAGCGAAGAGGTAGGCCAGCTCCGCTCCGTGGAGGGCTCCTGTAGACGTAAGAAAGAGATTAAGATCGCTCCATCAGTGGTGATGGCAGCGAGATGCTACATCCTATTGCTCAAATATGACTAATTTCCTGATCAGACCTATACCATTTTCTGGCTTGTGACCTGTTATCACTGGTAACATATATTTTCCTACTATTCATTCTACTATTTGTTATCTGCTCTAACTTTTGGCATATTTTAGTCTATGTATCGGCGTGTGTGTGTGTGAGATCTCTTGTAGCCTGAGATGACCTACCTGTGATGTTGGTGTGGGAGCCGTAGATGTCCCTGGCGAAGAAGGTGTTGACAAAGAGGTAGGTGGTGAGGCCCCTCCGAGCGAGATTATCAGCCATCCTCACTACAGGCGCCTTGAACATCCCATCTGTAAACATCTGCAGCGAGAGTGTAAAAATCAACAAGTTAATGACTGTATAAGCGTACATATTTATAATAATACATCCAAAGTGTATCTGTGTGTTCGTTTTCCCAGCACACCCTTTGCATTTGCATTTGGCCACCGTTGCATTTGGGTTTCGTTTGCATTTGGACACCGCTGAACAGAACTCAGGCAAAGATGATACAGCTTCGGGGAGAGGGAAAAGATCACATAAAATTAGGGTTCTGGGGGGACCCCTTAGGGTCCTGTCCCTGTTATTTACACGGGCATCACCGAGTATGTCTGCTAGCAATAAATAAAGTAACCCAAGCGGTTTTGCCAGGGGAAATCAGCATAAAAAGTAAAATAGTGTGTCGTAACCCACTCTGGTTCTCGCGTGGTGATGACTGAAGTTTTGGCCCCCAAGTCTTGGCGTATTTTGCAATCTTTCTCCGGCGTTTGGTTAGAGTCTCCCTTTGTAAACAAACTATTCCAATAAATTGCCTTGGCCTTCCTTACTTTTCTCCTCCTCCTCCTCCTCCTCCTTTCTCTCTCTCTCTCTCTCTCTCTCTCTCTCTCTCTCTCTCTCTCTCTCTCTCTCTCTCTCTCTCTCTCTCTCTCTCTCTCTCTCTCTCTCTCTCTTGCACTTCCTTTCCTTTGTGTTACTTCTTGAAAAGTCTCCCTGCTCATTCCACTCCTTCACCCACCGCTCGAATCCACCAAATTCACCTTAACTATCTCGAGGACCAGCTCGTCCTTTTGCCCCTTGGGAGCCTTGTCCAGGTAGGCGTACTCGACCATTCGGTTGACGGAGGCAGCGTTGTCCCCCAGCGCCGCTAGAGAGGTCAAGAGGGGCACCAGGATCTCGTGGCCGTAGCGACTCAGGTCATCGTAGGTCATGTGGCTGATCTCCCGCTTGATATCTGACCGTAAAGGAGATATATATATATTCTGAGAATGTGTGTATTTAGATATTTGCAGGGTATGATGTATACATTGGAGTGTGTATTCATGTTTTTACTGGTTGCTTTTTCACATGTTAGTTCTCTCCCATCTTTGTCTCTCTTCTAGCTAACTTCTCATCACTCTGAATGCTACCAGTCTCTCTCTCCCCTCCCATCAGTCACCATCTCTCACCAGGAGCCCATTATTCTCTTCCATTACTCATTAATTACCTCCCACCTGTTCTTACAAGCTTCTCCCTTTCCAAATGTTCTTTCCCACTAAGCTCCCCTTAGCACCAGCTATTTCCTCCTGTTATTCACCTTATTCCTTCTACCACTGCCACCCACTCGCCTTTTCTACCATCAATCTTCCATACGTCTTCCATTTCTTTTCATCCAGCCATTCGTATCTACCAGGCACTTCCTACCATTTTGCAATTTCTCTCTTAACATTATACTACTCCCACTCTCCTCTTAACTAGGGACTCCACCCCACCATCCATCCAGTCTCGTCTGACACCTCTCACCCGAACATCCAGCTATCCCAAGCCACTTCCACCCAACTCCATGCACTAGCCACACCATCCACCAGCTATACTGACCCCAATCAATCATCCTCACTACCAGCCGCCCCTCTCCACCACGACCCGTCCCTCTTCACCACGACCCGTCCCTCTCCACCACGACCCGTCCCTCTCCACCACGACCCGTCCCTCTCCACCACGACCCGTCCCTCTCCACCACCACCTCCACCAATCACTCACATAGCATAACGGACCCGTCATTCTCAGACAGCCCCAGTAAGACGGGGATCCTTCTGTTGGCGGTTTCCCTGAGGGCTTGCAGAGGTTCCAGGGGCACCATCCTCTCCTCCTGACGAAGGTAGGTGTCTATCACTGGGCCGAAGAGAAAGTGCGGATTCCCTTCCTGTAGAAGGTCGAGGCACAGCTTCAAATGTTGAAGGTCGGATAGTTGGAATTTTCTTTTAAATGATTTTACATGTAACAGGATCAGTCACTGAGCTGGAGTTCATGAATTCAGTAGTGGGTGATGGATATGTTAATTGAAGCTAATAAATCTGTGAATATTTTTACTATAATTTCTGTAACTATTGTAAATGCCATTACTAGTGCTATTATTATTATTATTATTATTATTATTATTTTTATTATTAATGGAGGGAATACAAAATGAAACAGACGAAGAAGGAGAAATAGGATGGGAAGATAATGTAATAAACCAAAATAAGAAAGAAAAAAATACGATTTAGGGTCCGAAGTGGCCAAGATGGAAGTATCGAGTACAGTAGTGTCGCAGGCCTGACCCAGGATTCATCAAGCATTTACTCAACTACTTACGACACCTGTACATCTTCCCAATTCATGGCGGCTTTATTTACATCTATTAAACAATTTACGTTGTCCGAAACTTCCCCATTTCAAGATTATTATTGTTATAAACAACCTCGTAGTGCTTCGGAGCTTATAAACTTTTCAACAAATGTAAACACTGCCGCCAGGCCTGGTCGAGGACCGGGCCGCGGGGACGCTAAGCCTCGAAATCATCTCAAGATAAACTCAAGATGATCGCTGAAAGATATCCAGGTATCGTTAGTGATTGCTGAAGAGTCCAGCTGGTCTCCCCACCTCAATAAGCCGTTCCACGGCCTTCACGATCTGGTTGACGTCCTTGTTCCTGAGGCACTCGAGGAGGTAGGTGGAGCCTGAGACGTAGCCACAGCCCAGACGCTCCGAGAGTCTCTTGGAGGCTTCCCGAGGGCGTCTGCTTAGGGCCCAAGGAGCGAGGTTGGTTCCAGAGAGGAGGATCATCTGCTGGAACGGTCCTGGAAAGATATAGGATCTTATAGTCACTGGAAATATAAATGAAATCTCACGTTTTATCTGTAAATAACTTCTTTAATTTGACCTATCTTTTTATTCAGAAATTATCTACTGGAAAGCGCGTTTATTTTCCAGTTTATTGGAAAATGAAAAAAAGGAAAACAGCAATAATCTCGCTTCATGCAGGTCGGCGTTCAATCCCCGACCGTCCAAGTGGTTTGGCACCATTCCTTTCACCCGTCCCATCCCAATTCATTATTCTGACCTGATCCTCTAGGCTTAAGAGGGATTATATATTTGTAATATTGTGTTCATGGATTGATGCCAATGAACCATAATATGGCTCAAAATGAATAAAATATTAATCAAAGAACCACGGATCAAAGAATTAAACTCAGCGATAATCTGGCTTTCGATTTTAACATATAAACCTATAAAGCGATTGAGTTACTGATGTTAAGGGATAAATTGGGAGCGTTATTGATATTTCCTTATGATTGGTTAAGGGAGAACAAGTGTAAAGATTTAGTGTTTAGACGAACATAGAACTTAATTCGTGACCAGAAACGTTGTATACTCAGGTGATCTTGGCTGCAAAACGACTAAAAAACTACCTTTGATTGTCAAGCTGATCTACCTTAATGTTGAATTAACCGACCAAAACAATAGAGATTCCAGATATTTGCAGGTTTGGCTGGTCCTGGCTGTTACGACCTTACGACCTTCGAGACTGACTGACCTCGACCTCTAGAACTATCTGACCTTGACCAATAAGACTGACCTTGACTGCGAGGAAGGACCAGGTGGTAGGCGGCGGAGGCGGCTCCCGCTGAGTGACCCAGGAGGGTGACGCGGGTCAGGTCACCACCGAACTTGTCGATGTTCTCAGCGACCCACTGTAGGGCCAGAGACTGGTCCCTCAGCCCCAGGTTGCCGGGCAGCACACGATCCTGCCACGTCAGGAAGCCTGCGAAGAGCAGCATTAGGACGTAAGGATAGAGGATAATGTAGAGGGATTGTTGACCCATATGAGGCGGCTCTTTTTTATATCCACCCAATGTAATTCATGCATATAACTCATTTGATATCTAGGATTCTGCGTAATATATATTTTTTAACATAGTTTCCCGTAATTGTAAATCACAACAGTTTTCTATTATATAAAGTTGTTATACTTATAACCGAAATTCCGAACCTTCTCGCCAGTCATGTTGAATAAGAAAAATATACCCAATTAAAGCAAAATAGTATTCACCTTCCAATTAAACATTTCGGGATCTGAAGAACATAAACCATATTTATTTTCCAATTAAAATCGCATTTATCTGAATTACCGTCAACGCTTATCAATTGTAATTCGATTTGTGAGATTAACAGCAGATAAATACCTAAAGCTGGCATCCTTTAGAAAAAATGGAGAATGTAACAACTCTTTTATATATCTCAAAAAAAAAATAAATAAATAAAATTGACAAAGTTTTGTATAATGCTAAAATATATGAAACATATATATATATATATATATATATATATATATATATATATATATAACATAGATATATATTGTCAATTATCAAGATAACAAGGGAAGAGGGACTATCAGGGGAAAGCACCAAGCCATTACGACTATATAGCAAGTCAAGATAACCAAAAAACAACAATGATTATCGATTAAAAAAACTTATAACACAAATAGGAATTTCTAGTAACTCACCGAAGGCGTTTGTTCGGTAGTTGAGAGAGACGATGATGAGGTCAGAGGCGGCAAGGTCATGACCCGGAAACCTAGAAGAGGCAGAGGTCACGAAGAGTTCCCCCTCCAATAGCACTATCACCGGGTACTGACGGAACCCGCGCGGCAGCTGGAAAATCCCCATTACGAGTCATCATCATCATCATTACAGGCTAAGGTCATTATAAAACACCTGACATGGCCAAAGCTACGGGTCACGCTAGGTCAACACCATTGTTATCATAGACAGGAATCATTGTAGGTCATGGGTCATTAAAGATCAATATAAGTATAGATCACAATGTTTATGAAAGTCACATCATAATGGTCTATCATCATACTGGGTCAAATCATAATAGATCAACATCATAATGGGTCAACATTATACTTAGTCAACATCATACTGGATTAACATCATACTGGGATAATATCATACTGGGTCAACACCATATTGGATCAATATAGGTCAGTATCATTACGAGCGAATATTCTTTCCGGCTGTGATTACGAGTCAGCGTTATATCAGGTCAACATAATTAGGGATAAAATATTTTGGGTCAAAATAATTAATCACTGACTTCATTATATATCTAAATTACTGAATCATTAATGCTCATTGTAAAGCATTATTGGATTACATATTTTTATCAAGTCCTTGAATAGGCTCTGATGGATTATTCAATGTGTAATCAATTATGCAAATTGATGTTTTAAATCAATTTCTGATACCAGGTGTTAAGTCAAATTCTGATACCAGGTCTTAAGTCAAGGTCTGATATCAAGTTCTGGTAACAGGCAAGTTCAGATAGCAGATAACGAGTCAAATCTACATAGCAGGTTAAGGGTCTTCGTACTCGGTCAAATTACAAGTTCCTGACTCCAAACGAGGCTCAAGAATAATACCAGGTCATAGATCAAGCTGACAGGTCAAGTATGATATCAAGTACTGGTAGTTGAAGCAGTAGTTACAGCAACAGCAGCCGGAATAATAATAATAATAATAATAATAATAATAATAATAATAATGAAAAAAAATCCACAAGGGCCTTGATGAGGGTTCGAACCCTCATCACTGCTTCTACGGATTTTCTCACTGATACAGTTACGTTTGTGTGATTACTCTGTGAAGTATTAATAATAATAATAATGAAAGTAACACTACACTACACTACATTATACTTAAATAATGTGTGTAATAATCTTCAAGTAATACAACTTCTGCTAATACTATAACTAATTTTTATTGTAATAATTAACAGTCATATCAGAACAGAAAAACCTCTGTTCCTTTTCATCTAAATATGTGAATCCTTGCGACCGTGAGGTCCTGATTACTGCCGCAGAATTTTCCTAATTAAGAAAGGATTTGCAGTCTTTACTATCAAGAAAGAGAGAGAGAGAGAGAGAGAGAGAGAGAGAGAGAGAGAGAGAGAGAGAGAGAGAGAGAGAGAGAGAGAGAGAGAGAGAGAGAGAGAGAGAGAGAGAGAGAGAGAGGAGAATAGGGGAGCTTCCTGACTGAAATTACAGAAGGCTGCATTATTAATTATCATACTGAGGAACCTCTGATTCTCTAATACCAGTAGAGAAAGGGAGGTAGGGTGAACAGGAGGAAAGGAAGAAGGCAAAATGGGAGAGACAGACATAAAGATATAAAACACAGAGAAGACGATACTAAGCAAAGTAAAAAGAACAGACAAAAAATAAAATTTTAATGCTAGTAATTGGGAAGACAGATATTATATATATATATATATATATATATATATATATATATATATATATATATATATATATATATATATTACCTCAGGGATCCAGACGTTGAGTGTAAGGCAGTCTTCGGCGATCTGGACCCCCATAAGGAAGGGCTGGGGACAGGCAGCCCCCATCTTGTTGGCGTAGAGCGTTGAGTTCCACCCATTGTGTCGTTGTGGGGGCTGCAGGGTGGGTACTGAGTGATTAGTGACAGGTGATCAGGTGACCGTAGCAAAGGTGATCAAGTGGTTAATGACTACAACAAGGTATTCCGGGGGTTTGAAATATACCAAGAAAGCTTATAGGTGACTATACCGGGGTACCAAATAGGTAGCAGTGGACTAGTTGAACATTTTAGTATTTATTTTAGATATTAGTTTTATTTTATATATTAGTTTTATTTTATATATTGGTTTTATTTTCTATATATTAGTTTTATTTTGAATATTAGTTTTATTTTAAATATTAGTTTTATTTAATACTTTTGTAAAAAAACTGACAGGAAGGGATTTCCCCATTCCCCGAGTCACACACACACACACACACACACACACACACACACACACACACACACACACACACACACACACACACACACACACATTCAAATGTAGATATGATAGAGCCCAGTAGGCTCAGGAATCTGTACATCAGTTGATTGACAGTTGATTGACAGTTGAGAGGCGGGACCAAAGAGCTAAAGCTCAACCCCCCGCCCCCCTCAAGCACAACTAGGTGAGTATACCTGGAGAATCCGCCAGCGCTGTAGACAAGTCCCGCAGGATTTGTCAATTTCCCCAAAATTAGCCACTCGGAAAATCTTCGATTAGCGATAGGCGATTGCACGCTCTTTGTCAGGAGATAACTGGATCCCTTGGCTTTTGCCCGGATGGGATTTTCTTCTCTTTAGGATCAGGAAATAGGCAAAGGGAGCTTTGGCGTACAGATAGTTAACAAATGATCATTTCGTATAAACTTGTCTTGGCTCTCATCATTATCATCATCCTCATCTTCGTTGTTAACATCATCAAAATCATCTTACTCATCTTCGTTACTGTCAGCATCATTATTAATGTTCCCCTGTATTGGGGGCACAGTAAGATTTGCGTCCACCATATGACTCCAGTAAGTGTGTCTTGCCTTGAACCTGAGCTGTCTGCCGAGTACCTGAAAGCCTCCTGTTCCTTGTCCTCTCCTGCTCTGTGTCTCGAACTGTCGTCTGGTGATCCATTTACACTTTCACCCCTTCCTCACACCCAGAACTTTTTGCAACAAACAGATTTGCACCACACACACACACACACACACACACACACACACACACACACACACACACACACACACACACACACACACACACATTTTTATCTGTCTTTCTGCAATTTGCGTCACAAAATCCACATAAAAAAAGACGGAAGATTATGAAAGGCGCTTATAATGAAAATGCTTTTACGTTAATGTTTAGCTTCCTCAAAACAAGTAAAAATTACATCAAGATGAACAGTGAACGTTTTTACAAACACAAACAAATGTTTCATCCTTTTCACCATCATATTCTCACAAAAAAGGCTCTGAAAATAATTGTATTATCTGTTTTTTTTCTGCTTTTCCTTATTACGTAAATTTTTTACTGATGATCATGGCTCGAAGAGTGAATAAATATGAAAATCTCCTTTTAAGGAACACCATTTGAAATTATATTCAAATTAAAGGGAGGAATTCTCTCTCTCTCTCTCTCTCTCTCTCTCTCTCTCTCTCTCTCTGTCTGTCTGTCTGCCTCTCATTCTCGCTCTTCTCACGTTTCACGTTGCCTTTCTCCTTCCCTTCATCCTTTCATCTCCGTCTCTCTCTCTCTCTCTCTCTCTCTCTCTCTCTCTCTCTCTCTCTCTCTCTCTCTCTCTCTCTCTCTCTCTCTCTCTCTCTCCTATAATTATACTCATTCACCTTCTCCCCAACACATTATAATACCCATTTTCACCAACCGATCCACTAGGACACTCACCTTAAACCTCAGGTCGCCTACAGGAGGCTTAGCGTAAGGAATGCCAAGGTAAGCGTAGATCTGCCGGCTGTTAGACTCCCGCATCACCTGCAAGGTGAAGTGCATTAGATTAAAGTCACCAGTGACTCTAAATGGACTTTGAGTGATGAGTATACATGGTTTACTTGGACAGTTTATATTATACAGCTTACAGGTGATGAGTCACAATAACGTGGCTGAAGTATGTTGACCAGACCACACACTAGAAAATGAAGGGACGTCGACGTTTCGGTCCGTCCTGGACCATTCTGAAGTCGTTTCAAAGCTTTATATAGCTTACCATAATAATTTATTATTTCTTGAATGGTAAACCCCTTGTTGCATAGTTGATAAATTATCAAGTAAATGTTTGTTTATATATACATAATCACACTAACAACTTCATTATTATGGCCAAACATCTATAGTATACATGTAATCAAACTGGAATGTCTCTGCGTAAATAAAACACTTAAGACAAAAAAAACGCAAAGAACACATGACTGTAAAGGAGAAAGAGTAAAAGTATGATAAAAACGAAAGAGAAAAACAGTTATAATCTGGCATAACCTAATGTAATCGAACCAGGGTCTAAGCTGGGTTATTGGATACGCCCAGACACTAGTTAATTAGACCTATGGTAGGTTAGGTTAGTTATTAATTTTTTTTGCCTTTCCATTCCACCCAATCATTTATAGCTTTTCTGACTTCACTTTTCATGTTTTGTACAAGTTACATTTTGGACAAACTTGATTAGATCCAAAGCAGATTTGCCAATTTCTGTTTAACATATTTAACCTATTATCCCTTTCACACTCTATTATTAGCACTTTTACTCTCTCACCCACTTTGACTCACACTCACACACATACACACACACAAACACACACTCACACTCACTCTCCCTCGTACTTTTGTTCATTTTTAATCAACTGCGGGATGCTGCGTCATATTTGGCACTTCCGGTGGCCTTGAGAAGCCAACAAGTGTAACGTGCAACCTAACATTAAGGTAAATGTGTGTCTGTTTGTGTGTATGTTTGTGAGTGAGTATGTATGTGGAGGCGTATATATATGTATGAATGAGTGCGTGGTAGTGGTAGTGGTGGTGGTGGTGTGTGTGCGTGTATGCATATGCGTGAGAATGTTTGTGGATGCGTATATATGTATGTGTGTGTGGTGGTGTGTGTATGTGTGGACATTATCAATGTGACGGACATCGTTAATCTCCCTCGGATTCCACCTGGAATCAACTCGACAAACTCCTCGTTGCGGTCTGAGGTTGCCGCTAAATCTCTCGTTAATTCTATTAACTCTCTCTTGATTACTTAACGTCTGAGCAGTTACTGTAATTACAATGTTGCTTGATAACGAGGTAAAGTACATTAACAGAAGTTTTCGGACTGATTTCTTGATTCCGGACAACGAAAGTAGTAAAAGATTAAACAAAACCAGGAATTTTTTACAAGACGATGGACAATAATTAGACACAACTACAAACTTCCTAAACTGAGATTAAACAAAAAATAAGAAAAGAAAATGACTAGCTTTTCATTAAAAATATTCTCCTTCGCTACAAAAGCGAAGATAAAGTTGGTTTGCTCGCTTTGGCTTCCTCAAATGAATTAAAAAAAAGCCGCTTCAGCAAAGCTTTCATCCTTTAAGAGTGTTTTGAGAAAAGCGGATAAGATATTTGTTCTAAAAATTGAAACTCTGAAGTAAGATGATCTATATTAAGCTTTTTGTATCTGAAATATAAAATTACAATTGTTTCATAATATTTCATAATGAAATAAGAACACAGGAGCAAAATAACATTACAGTAGGCCAATTGGCCCAAGCAAGACAGACCCATAATCATATGCCTGTTGAACTAAGCAAGACATGAACGCTACAATAGGCTTACTAACGAGTTCGAGATATGAACTCTGCTTAGGCCTACTGGCAATATCAAGCAGGAACACATGAGCTCTGCAATGTTCCAGCTAGCACATACCCGCCAAGAACACAACAATAGGCCTACTGGCCTATGTGAGGCTGGCCTAATTTACACCAAATTGTTGACACACATGAATCTGGCTATCCCCCATATAGAACTCTTCAATTTTTGCATAGTCAGTGCTTATATACGTTACTTTAAAACAATTTATTATATTTTAATCCGTTATTGGGACTTTTGTTTTGATTAAATATTCTCAATACTACGATATACCCTATTATTTTATGCGCTTAATTAATTTGATAATTCATATCTTCCCCTCGTTCTGTGAGCTACCAGGAGAAAACGCTAAGACATTAGAAAATATATATATATATATATATATATATATATATATATATATATATATATATATATATATATATATATATATATATATATATATATATATTTCTGTGTGAGAAATAAATATTTAATGTTCATAAAATGACGATGCATTTCGTTGCATCTTTTAAGAAAATATCTGTCCATTTTGCATAGCTCAGGTAAATCTCACTGATGCAAAATAAAAGGATAATATTTTAGGATAGGATCTTATTTTCATTCATATTACATGTGTTTTTGCTTTATTCAGTGCAACAATACGCTGTTAATTTCGATTAAGGTCTTTATCAAATATTATTCTCAGATCCTTTGTACTAATCAATTTATAAATATCCACATTAATCTCATACCTTGCGTTACGTTTTTTTGTCCAACAAAACAAATTATATTAAATATATTATGAATAATGAAGTCCTAGCACAGAACCCAGGATTTACTTGTGTTGTGAAGTTTACTTGTAGTCTACCTGTAGAACTTTCGAGAGTTCTACTAAACAAGCCACGAGTCAGTGCCCAGGATAGTCTGATGAATCACTCAATACAAGACACATTTTAACTTGTAATAATGACAAGAAAATTTCTGTACTGTTACTCACCCCTTGTACGGTGCCCTGGCGGAGTTTGACGCTGGAGTCTTGTGCCCTGGACCCTGCTGGGTCCAGACAGAGCACTACAACCAGCACTACCATGAGAGACCATCTTCTTGGATCCGTAGGTATGGATGAGCGTGTAACTGGGTCCATGGGAGGCCCTTTAGCGGGGAGGATGGACGCAGAGGACGACCCTCGACGGAGCAGAGCTTCCTGATGCTGTCTGTTAGTGCTGGGGCTCCGTGGCCCGGCCCACTGTCCGACCATTGTTCGTGTCAAGTCATTTCTGTTTTCGGGGCCATTTACGCCGGGTTTGCAAGGAGTAAAAGTGGCTTTTCGGCAGCTTCTTGAAAATGGTATATTTGTTCTAATCAAATCTGAAAATATAACGCTCATATCTAAAAACTTCACTGTTCTATAATTTGTATAAGAGGCACTGTAAATACCATTGATCCTTTTTCTTTACTTAATAATTTAGGAACAAGTTATATATATGTATACTGTTCTATGTAAGTTACATGGTGGTTACTTCTTAATAGTCTTAAGCTCAAGAGCTTTGTCGTGGCGCTCCTCGTCATCACAATCGTCAGACATTATTTTTTTCCTTGGAATCTTTGTGTTTCGTGCACCTGAAAGATAACATGCAATGAACACTCCCAGGCACACTCAGGCATCAAGACCTACACATAAAACTATACAAACCTCTACACATAATTTCCAATTTCTCTACTCATATTTTTCTCAAACTTCTACACATTAGGCTTCCAAGTCCATTACACACAAGGCTTTCAAAGCCTCTAGACATTAAGCTTTCAAATCTACTGCACATAAGGCTTTAAAAAGGTTAAGCAAGTCCTAGGTGTGTGTGGGTACAAGTGACAGGATGATCAACCCAGCGGGTTTTCTTCCTATTGGGGAGCGTTGTACATGCTGCTATGGCGGTGTGTCCACTCACAGGACGAGTGGCGCTGCCCAATAAACTCGCTCCTCGGGGCAAAACTTAAAAGATCTACGACATATATGATCCTAAGGAAAATGAATTAAATAAACAAACATTCTTCAAGGCTATATATAGCAGAACGAGGAACATGTATGGAAACTAGAGACACAAATTTGTAATTTAGAAATGTTAGTAAGAATTTCACAAGTTTTTGGAGTTATCATTAGTATTATGGGTTATAAATATAATAGGGCTGTAGCTACTTATATGTAAAAACTGTTAATATGATAATAAAATTAAACTAGGAACCGAGTCATTGCATAAAATAATATATTTGTAAGACAAACACAAAAAAACCCAAGCACACACACAGACACTGACACACACACACACACACACACACACACACACACACACACACACACATACACACACACACACACACACACACACACACACACACACACACACACACACACACACACACACACACACACACACACACACACACCAATACACCACCAAAGCTCCCTATAGTAACCACTCTCGTCATCCAAGGACATTGCGCCTTCAAAGGGTTCACCAGGGCATGAAACTCTCTCTCCGGGAAGATTGTTGGAACCCGTGGCGAAGGAAAAATAAATGGGGAAGGAAGAAGATGGTGGAGAAGGAGAAGGGAAAAAAGATGAAGTGCACAAGGAATAGGTGGAAGCGGTAAGGACGAAAGGAGAAGGGAGAAGAGGTGGATGAAGAATTTAAGTGGACCTTATACCAGTCTTTGTTTGGGTGGCCTTTACAGCCGCCCTCATATATATATATATATATATATATATATATATATATATATATATATATATATATATATATATATATATATATATATATATATATATATTTATATATATAAATATATATATATATATATATACTCGGAGGGGTATCCCGCGATACTATGGGATAGTCTGTCTCTATCCTCAACACCTATTCTACCCCCTCTTATTTCCCCCTCATCCCATTGGTCCTTCCCCTCGTCCTTTCCCCACGTCTTCCCCCATTCGAAACCCCTCCAGCCTCCCCTTTCACCAAGTTCTTTCAGATAATTTATTATTAAAAGTCAAGAAACAACTATTTCGGTCTCAGATATTATATTTTGGCATTAAAAAGTCCACGTTGATCACACGCCATATTTGACAATATACCAAGAAAATGGCCTGGGTGTGTTTATAATATGCAATATTTCTTAACAAAAATTTAACTTATGTGTACCCTGATTGACCTGTGTCCGTCCCGTACCACAGACCTCTCCCCGTGCAAATTTGGGTGAGGCTAGCTCCAAGTGTCTGATCTCCAACATTTGACAGACAAACAGACAGATTACATATTTTAATATGTAGTCTGTCAATCAGACTTTGTTGTCCATAACTATCCAGACTATGATATGCAGTCTGAATATTTTAATAGGGCAGAATGCAATACTTAATATTGACAGTCTGCATATTTTGATATTTCCTTTTGACACCCGACCAAAAAGTTTCCACTATGTAGTGATCTTTGCATATATACTTTCATATATTTTAACGCCTTATAAGCACGAACGCCACACGAGGCTGCGAGCCCTACTTTGACTCTGTCTATACGCTCACGTAAAACACAGCTGTGGCATTAAACAGCTGACCGACGTAAACAAACACAGTTGGGGTTAAACAGCTGATAGACGTAAACAAACATTTGCTAAATTTTTTGCTTCAAATAAACGCTCGGCATCAAGTGGAAGTACGGTCATTAAGAAGGGTGGATGTAGGAGTGGGTGACCGTGTGGGTAACGGCGTGGGTGTAGGTGATAGTGTGGGAAATAGGTGATGGTGAGGGGGTAAAAATGGGGAACACTTGACGGTGAGGGTGTAAGTGAGAGTGAGGATTTAGGTGTAGGTGAAGGCGTGTGTTAGGGTGTAGGTGGGGATGTGGGTTCAACCTGTCCTCCTACAAAGAACTGCATTTCCCCTCGAATGCGTTTCATAAGGCCAAAAAATACCGTACTAGAAAATGGAAGCGGCTGGCGAAAGTGACGTACTGTCCCGTTTTCTGTTTTGAGTCCTCTGGTAGATTATTAGAGAACACTTTAACTGGCCGTTTTCTTAACGTTGGAAAACCTTAGGAGGACGGGCGAATGTTTGGAACAACACGTGAAGATGACGCTGAAAAGTTTGCTTGAAGGTTAGGAAGGAGTTGAGAATGTCATTATTTCTTGAATGATATTTAACAACTGTTTCCCTTTCTTGCCTCCTGAGGAGAAACTTCGATATTTAAATATTTATATAAATCTAAAAATATCGAACTCAAGGAGGATTTGACTGAATATGATGACATAATTACCTATAAGTTTCTAACTCAAAAATTCAAAGCTTATCAGATATAGCTTTTTGCAGGTGTTTAAACAAGCTGAGAAGTCATAGGTAAATAAATAGTTTAACTATAACTATGAACAAATTTGTGAATGTTAACACAAAAAACTAAATGTAATAAATTGAAAGCCCAATTCCTATCAAAAACTATTTTATTAAAGTAAAGACACTATTTAAAAAGAAGAATCTTATGGATTACTAAATCTTTTATCATTCGAATCCTATTTTTTTTAAATAAACTTTTATGTAATGAATGTTGGAACAGAAAGGGAGGATTAATATAAACGTTTTCATCAAGGGGATTGAAGCTGATGGGAAGATGTCGTTCAGGAGCGAGAGTAATGAGATTTAGGCTTCACATTGTATTCTCTGGTTCCCGCGGGATTTTAATCATTGCGAGGAAGTCAAGTGAAGGTGTGTGTGAACTCACCTAGTTCTTATCACCTAACTGTGTCTGTGGAAATGGGGCTTCAGCGCTTGGGTCTCGCATCACAACCATCAAGTTCCTGATGTACATGTTTTCGATCCGTTTGGTAAAGTGGTAACTCAGAACGGCAATATAATACTTAAAGGGGATATAAGACCAGGCTAGGAGCTGGGATAGGATGACAGACTAAAGGAAAAGTGTCCTCATTACTTGAATTATTGGGAATCGAACGCCAACCCTTTAAGAATGTAGGCTGTCGCTCACAGCTGTCTCTCTACTGACCTGACCTGTGGGTTGTGACAAATTTACATATAGATTTGCGTATGGAGTTTGCCCTCGTCACCCATTTTATTTTGTTCATTCTACTTCGTCACTACCACGAGAGTGAAGTTCCTTTTAATACCTCGATTGTTCATCTGGTTACCTAGCGTCTGCCTGTGTACCTTATTCGTGGCCCTTCAGTGTTACACACACACTGTATATCAGTACACGTGAGTGTGTGTGTGTGTGTGTGTGTGTGTGTGTGTGTGTGTGTGTGTGTGTGTGTGTGTGTGTGTGTGTGTGTGTGTGTGTGTGTACGCTGTACATTTCGAGCAGAGGACGGATTAACGAAACTGTTATTACCGTTATGCTGTTATTCAGGCCTCGTATTCCACCGGTACACCCACCCACCCCTCGGGGCCTCTGTTATCTACAGCATCTCGCCATCAATGGGTGTCTACGCATTCCTACCTCCCCCTCACCCCCCCTCCCTCTCTCCCCTATGTGTCCGTCAACTGCCATCAACTGTCTGCAACATCTACATATTCTCCCTCAGTTTCACGTCCATCTTCCATCCCCACCACCAGGACCTGCATCCTTCCATCTCTCATCAACATATGTAGCAGTAACAGCCTCAAACACCCACTTCCACCCAACACACAACTGCAACATCAACTTCCAGTTCCTCATTCCACTCTCCGGTACATCAATTTGCCTCACCTCTGTCACCCTTCCTTGCTTCCCCCCTCCCCCGATCAACCCTCTATTTGCTTTATAAACACCAGAATATACCTCCATCCCTTCTCCTCCCTCCCTCCTCCTCTCCCACTGTAGCCCGCCCGGACACCCCTTCCCACCTGGACAGCCACGTTGAGGGACACCATCACACCCATCAATCTCCATCCCATCAACATGCAACACAATCCCCCCCCCATCTGCCTTCCCTTCCCCCAATCTTTTCTCTCTCTTCCAGTTTCTCTCTCATCTGTCGCCAGCATCACTTTTCATCTCTCCCACTCCTTCCAAACACTGCTCCTGCTCCCTTCCCATAAATAAACACCTGTACCAGTTCCACCCACGCAATCCACCCCTATCCACCCCCTCATCCACACCCCTCATCAAACACCCGTACCAGCATCCGGTCGTCAGGTCGTGTGACCTAATTATGCTCCAACACACACCGACATAACGAACACAACTACGCTAATTACGACCAGTTTAACGTTCCAGCTAATTAAGGAACATCAGGTAGTAACACAAATATTTATTCGGATTTATAATTTAATATTGAAATCGGTCGGTGAATAAGACATTGAAGGAAAACATATTGAATGACGGGATGGAAGTTGGAAGATTGGTCGCGTATGGTAGAGGGTAGATGGTAGATTGTGGTTGGTAGAATGGTTGGTAGAGTTTGGTCAGTTCTTGCGACTGTGATATAACTGTGTTATCGTGTTTGCGTCTGTGTGGGAGGGGTGCTATCATTTCTCGCGTGATATCTGGCCTTCGTCGGAAATGTATTGTGTCAGCTGCTTGTCATCCTGCATTATGTGTGTGTATATATATTTAGGGCTAATGAATACGTTTGAGCGTGTATGTGTATATGCACGTGTGCATGTATGTATGTATGTTTTACGTGTACATAAATGCGTAT